CTGGCACGGCCGTGCAGGGTCTTCTAAGCCCTTTTCTTCATGTTTTCTTCTACGATGCTCTTGTACTTGGCTTCTTTCCATCATTTCCTTGCTTCTAACCTCGGTTTGGTAACCCTGGGCTTCATTTGGTCGTTTTTGGGCCTAAAATCTCAACAAAGACACTAACAACCCGTGAAGCATAGGATACACAAAAATTGCGTAATAATAGGGTAAAAGTGAACCAAAACACAACTTTGTTCAAGTAAACTAGGTTCAAATACGCCCTAAAACCGCATAAAATAGCAAGTTATCACCTACGCTAGTCTCATGAGCATAATAAAATAAATAATATTCAAAACAAATAAAACACATCATATTCCTATGAGAACTAAGCATGATTCGCTCTTCACTCATGCCCATCATGAAAATGCTACATCTCCCGAAAACTTCTCTCTAATTGTCCCCACTACTCGCCATTAGAAATGGGTCGTCGTAGGGCCAAGGTAAAGACAAGGCCAAACAAACATACAACACACAATCAGTAATGCTGAGTACATAAGCGTAATAAAACACATATCATACTTTCATCCTATCATCACACAACTTACCTTGTTGCACCTGTAAACAAGCATACAAGACATTCAACACTTAACTAGACAAATACCAATGTCCATTTAATTTTTTGATTACGCATCGAACGAGATTCCCCCTAACTTGCCTCAATAAAGGGGTACTAATACAGGAGCTAACCGTGCTAGTATAAAAGAACCACTCATAAGTGGCGGAATTCCTGCGCATAATAAAATGGAATATAAAGCGACCTGTACTCCCAGTAGAAGTTATGGTCAAATATAAAGTGACATAACTCCCCCCATATGTTCATACTCAAGGTATATACGTTCCAAGAGTTTTGGTGCGTAATCTCTTTCACTTTACGTTGTTTACATATTATTATACTCGGTGATGACTCTCAAACCATAACACAGTCAAACATTATAGTTCATTCAAGCAATCAAACATATCAAATTAATTCTTGAATAATTAGTGACCACATAAATTTAATTGTTGAACCTTTTTTAATCTATTTCAGTGTCAAAGACACCTTAAACGCATAATGCATCGCAAATCTTATCCCTTGGTGTTAGAAACACCTTAAGTGCACATAGTCACTGCAATATAATTTATTCCTGTGTACTAAGACACTTAAATAGCTCCTTCCTCATGCTTATAGCATCAATAAAAATTATATGAACCATAATAAAATTTCCTTTTTAATATTCCAAACCAAATTAAACATTTAGTTTAATTAAACATGCTCTCTATCACGCCAACAATAAAAGTGTGGTTCATAATTAACATGTCAACATAATTAATTTCCTATCACCAACTCATCATAAATAATTCGTACAACATAAATCATTTACCAACTTCAATCAAATCAACAAATTCCAACCAATACCTATCATGATACTACTTGGAACTAATTAAACAAAGTCGAGCATGCTTCTATATATTCAAATAATTATCAAGTACGCGAACGTACCTTGAATATGATCTCAAAATCGCCACAACTAAATAAATCACTCACTTGGAAGTCTCCTACAAACCAAAATTTCAAAAAGGCATTATGCCTATTCCACACAAACCCAGCAATATATAGACTCTTTAAATCACTCATAAACCCTCTAAAACAAGCTGAAATTTAATTTAAACCCTTACTTTTATTCCCAATTAATGGGTAATTAAAAATCCATCAAGAAACATAATTATAGCTTATATATAAAAATTTCAGCTTTATTAAATCATTCAAAATTGCTGTAATTGTGTTTTAAAACACCTATTTTAATAATTTAAATCACCCATAAACAATTTCCATCAATATACATAAACTTAGAAACCTAAGGTTTATAATTTGGGGCTTTTTAATTCAAAACCAAATCTGAAAATTTACGTACAAAATACTTATTATCAAACATTATAAAAATCATCACAAAACCCAAAAACAATAATTAGATTAAGGATAGATTTAATTAAAATAAAAAGTTTTTTTTTTTTTTTTTTTTAACAAACACACGCACGCGCAAGGGGGAAGAAAGGGAGGGTGGCTGGCACGACCTCCCACGGCTGCTGCTGCCGGCCCTGTGCTGGCGACGGCGACCGGCTGTGGTGGTGGTGGCAGCCGGCCAACCTGATGCTATGGAGGGGCCTACTCCTATTTCAGCTCTCATCCATGCTGCTACCATGGTCGCCGCGGGAATTTTTTTAGTTGCTCGACTGCTGCCTCTTTTTTTAATTCTACCTTCCATAATGTATGGAATTTCTTTTATAGGTATAATAACAGTACTACTAGGAGGAACCTTAGCTCTTGCTCAAAAAGACATTAAGATAAGTTTAGCTTATTCTACAATGTCTCAATTGGGTTATATGATGTTAGCTCTAGGTATGGGTGGAGATTTCTCTCTCCATTAATTAATTCCCAAAATTCAACTTTCTTTTTGATTTGACTCACCCGGGCGTACTCCCTTTTTTAACCTGATTTTGTGAGGTGTGTGTTGTGGTAGTGTGTGAAAAAAATTAAAATTAAAATAAAAAGGAAGGAGAAAAATTAAGAGAAAAAGATAGAAAATAAGAGGAGAGAGAAAGAGAGTTACCTTTGGGTATTCTCTACCTTGAGGAAAGTTTAATTTGCCCCTTTTTAAAACCCTCCTAGACTTAAATTTTCTTTTTACCCTTAATGATCTCTTTCCTAGTCAAACTAGTATTTTGACTTCCTTTAAAAACTCATTGACTTTATAATTTTCTTTTATAAAATAATATGTCCAAAGTTTCCAAATCATGAAATAAAATATTTTCAAGATTGTTAAATAATTAAAAATAAATTTTTAATTAAAATATTTTTTTAAATTAATGAAACACCATAAATAATTCATTTCGAATTATTTAAATATTTTTAAAAATACTTATTTAAATTAAAATACGTATAAAAATACGAGATATTACACTCATCTTCTTCTCTCGCAGCATCATCACGCCATTCAACCAAAGCACATACGACACGAAGTCCGTACATATACAAGTACGACACGTCCTTATTGAACACTTCTTTCTCGTACAATCAAACACTAACATCATGACTTAACTTACAAACTTCGGCCAAGGAATCTTGACCGTTCTTAGACAAGATTGTAGACTTCATAACATCGTGAATGTAAAGTAAATAGTGTGTGTCTTCTCTTGCATACTTGATCATGTCATGAGTAAGAGGCCGAATTCTCCAATCCGAAGTTTGATATTCTTTGTTAGCCATAACACCACAATAGTACTTTAATAGGAATTCAAGAGAGTTTCTTTCAAATCCCATTACTCTAGACGCTTGCATCGTATCAAATAAATATCAAAATCCCTTTTAATGTCATTACTTGCACCGTGCATTATTTTTCTCTTAGACGGATCTCGAATTACATGTCTTAGGTAATCTCCATTACTATCCCGTAACTTAAAGAGTATCAACCACAAAATCCTCGTAACGAGTTGAAATTTGCATAAGACAAGTAATCCCTTGGAACGAATTGTGCTCTAAATCCACTGCAAACTCTTCCACCTTGGATAACTTGGTGGCCAAGTAATCCAAATCGGCTACGTTCTCGACTAGTTTAAAAGGGGTTGATTCGATCGACTTAGGATTAAGGGAGGGAGGAAAGCAAAGTCTAAGGGATTGTAACGCGTAGCCGGGTGGATGGGTTGTGATCCATATTTAGGCAGCCATGGATGAGTAAAAGGAGTGTTAGAATCATCAATTTCGATATTGAATTCATCTTGAGGTTTTGATAACCAAGAAACATGAAACGGAACTACGGTCATGGTTGAAGTTGTGGGAGAAATTTTAGAGAAGTTTAAAATAATTGTGGGTTTATAAAATTAGAGATCGATTAATATATGCAATGACAGAATTATACGAAGTATATGTCGAGGGGAAAAATATCTGTTAAAATATATATCCAATTACTAGTCGGTTTCCTAAAACAGCATTTACTCTAGACGACTACATTATTAACGAGTTTCCTAAAATTACTTTAGTTTAGCCTACACTAAATCTTCCCTTAATTTTACTTGGTAAATTGAATTACTTGGTACCCAATCCAATTTGTGACAGCTTTGGTTACCTAAATTAATGGGTAAATAGTAATTTTTCCGTTTATTTCTCGACCTTATTTAAATACTTATTACTTATGTTCTTTTTTACCTCTCTAGCTTATACATATTAGATTATTAATTACGACTTACGAAGTAGTATATGATTTTATCTCTTTTCTTAAATACGGAGTAATTTTTTTTTGTGACAACATTAATTTTTTAATCAACTTTAGTTTGCTATTTTATTTCAAAATTTAATTCATCAACAAACCACACTTTCACAAGTGAGACAGTGAAGGAAACACCAGAAAATTTCCTAAGATACCTCTAATTAATTTGGGACTTTTGGTAAAAAAATTCAAACTTCAAGGGTACCTCAAGTATTCCTAAAAAGGGACGTGGGCATTTTGAGAATTTCAACTAAAATGAGAGGTAATTAGGAAATTTTCCAATAAGGTTATATGGGGATAATGTAGTGGGATTTGATTTTATGTATTTTAAAGAGGACTTTTATTAATAAATAATTGGCAACTTCTAGATATATTCCGTTTAAGGTAATTTTTATTATTTTAGGTTAACATTATAATCGATGTACAAAATTTACAGTATATATTTACCTAGTATATATTTACAACTTTGATTGTATTAATAGTTCAGTTATCTTCATTCATACTTGTAGTTTTATGGTGTGCCAAGGTACACTATTTAACGGAGGAAGTACAAAAAAATAATTTTATACGGATCTGTGCATAATTAATATAATAATCTTGTCCAAAATCTGTGTGCAAGGAGTTTTCGTGGTTGTTTAGTAAACTAAAAATATTGAGGAATCTTTACTAAATACTTCAGATTACCCACATACAAAAATAAGGAATTGTATTATAGGATTTAGGAGTTCCCCCATGAGGAGGGGATTCTAATATTCTTTCTTTTTCTTTATTACCTTTATAAAAAAATTATAACCAAACAAAGTTCATAAAATATGAAGAATTTGTTCAACTATATTAGAAGGGGGAAGAGGATACTCAAGTTTCCTAGCTTTACACGGCGTAATATATACAGTAAGGGTATACAGCAGGACTTTTTCTCAGAGTAAGCTCTCTAATTCTGTACATCACATACAAGAAATCACCTATCTTAGCTACATTACATGTTAATTTACTATAAAGAATGGCAAGAATTGGTCGAATCTACGGTCATTCTCCTCTGACTTGCCACAAATTGTTACAGTCCTCTTGTCTGTCAGATGATTATGTCTCAGTGGCTTCTCATCAAAAGGCAGAAGCCAGCGCCTAGCAACTGAAGATCATCTCAATCCTTGTAAGTGCTCTACATAGAAGATGTTCGTGTTACAAGGGAAGCAGCAGCAAGGCGAGCCTTCTCAAGTGGTGGCGGGAGAGGGGATGATTAATACAGCGACAATTTCCGTCGGCTCAGTTGAAGAAGTATGGAGAATTTAAAACTTCCCTCAGTTCAAAGTCTCCTCGCTCGGGCAGAGGAGGAAAGGATAGTGTAGGGAAAGATTGCTTGAAACTTTCCAGTAACTGTCAATGATCCAAAGAAAAGAATAAAAAGATTCAGCTTTGGAAATTAAACATCAATACAAAGCAGATCAAACAGTTAGTATATAGTTTCCACTCAAGCAATAATTTTTCAGAGTAATTCAAGAAGCAAGATATCTTAAATGCATAACCGGATAGTTTTCCCTAGTCTCTTTCCAGGAGAGGACTTCTGCGTTCATGAGCTATGCACAAGGCCATTTTTATTTTAGAATGGTATACCTATTAGTCTATTACCAATGTAAATCATAGACAGATAATGGCACAAAAAAGCACCAGCTATTATCTACAAGCGCAACTTACATTTTCCAATATTGGTTGTTCATAGAGTTCCACAAATTTTTCACGAAGTATCATGCTCATCTGATCCACATCGCACGCATGAGTCCAATATGAATCATGAACTCCTACAATCATCAAATGCAAAGAAATTAGCAGGAATCACATCTAAATCACCTGAAATAACAAAGAAAGGAAAAATATTAAGAGTAAATACAAATATAAATATAAACCTGCAAAGTTTAAGCCTGCTTGTTTGCAGGCCACTGCAGTCATCATCATATGTGACCCATCAAGGGAATGAACAAAATTTGGTGGAAAAGCTGACTTCTGCCGCTTAACCATAATCTGCGACAAAGGAAAAAAAAAAAAAAAAAGAAAAAAAAAATCAATGGTTATGCTCAGTTATTGCAGAGTTGTGTAGACTGTGTTAGGAAATAAGGGTGTAATTGTGTTTGATTAATGCGGAACAAGTCAATGAAATTTATGAACGAGAAAAGCAATAAAGAAGATAAACAAAGAACACAAGGATTTACGTGGTTCGGTCAAATTAGACCTACATCCATGGGTGGGTAATTCGAGAGCTTCTTCACTATAATGGAGAAAGAACGAGAGATAATACAAGGAGTCCTAAATCTAATGTCTCAAAAGGTATGATCTAATTGATCAACTAGAAGGTCCTTTTATAACACAAGGACCCTAATAAAACCCCTAAATTGTTCCCCAAGTATACTCAAATAGGCGTCATAGAAAAGATATAATTTTAGGAAATATCCCATAAATTATCCTAGAAGAACCGAACTACCGAGCTATAGCTCGGCAGCTAGCTCAAGTCTGCCGCAAGTCTTCATAGGGCCGAGCTATAGCTCACTCACATAGAGCTATAGCTTTCCAGCTTCGTCAGGTCTTCGTAAAATGGCCATAACTTTCTCGTTTCTTATCGGAATTGGGCATATGACCTATCGTTGAAAAGCTCTTGAATGAAGCTATCACCTCCAACTTGAATCACCTCAAAATCACTTATAGTCTGAGATATCTGCATTCAAAGTCAGCCCTACTAGATTTCGAGTCACAATTTAACAGACTGATTTGCAAAAAAAATTCTCTATCTCTTCAGACATCTGTAACAACAATACTTTGGTTCAAGTTCAACAGAAGGCTTCATTGCTTATGAGACTGCAGCAACCAAAGAAGAATTCCAGTCGTATAAAGGTGCAGCAATCTCAGCAATGAACAAAAGTGATATCATAAATAGTAGTAGTGCAACATTTACAACATGGATAATTTTGCAAAAAGAAACTATGGAAACCTGCACACAATAGACATGGTCATCTAGGATTTCTTTCAAAGGAAAAGATATTGAAATTGTACTCCAATGCATTATAGGATTGTCTTGATTTAGTCATTAGCATACATATCTTTTCTAAACATTGTGTCCACTTTCACTCAAATAAATACAAAGAAAATATATGCAAGTCATTAACCTTTGTGACTATCATGAGCAACTTAAAAATTGGACAACAGAATTCAAGAATAATACCTTTTCAGTTTCTCTTTCCAGCGTCAACATTTGAAGGGATGTTCTGATCTGCATCATATATATCAAACAAGCGAATATTAATCTTCGTAAGACAAATTTCAAACAGAAAAAGGAAGGCAAACGAAGAAAGGGTAGATGATTCCGTACCAGATGCCTACCCTTCTTGCAGTAAGGTTGCACAACAGGTAGACCCAATGGCGTTGTCCACCTCACAGGCTGATTTTCTGATGCAATAATCTGCACAAATTTCAGCCATCAAGTAAATGCATATAAGGTAACACACACAAAGGATAAAGAAGCAAATGATGGGGAGGCCACATCCACAAAAATTCATATCAAAAGCTCACATCTTAAATAGCATGATTAGCATCACATAATGTTACAATCTAAACCAGAAATTTTGTAATTTAGGGACATGTTATACAGGTTTGTGTAAATGGGGATGGACATTATGTGGGCTATTTAGAGTATAATTTATTACAGAAGTTACTGGTTTTTAAGATTGATTTCTACTCCTAATTTACTTCTCACAAAGGTACTCGCCAATGGTCCGTCTATTTTAACCAAATAAATAGAAAATATCAACATTTTAACCACATAACCAATACACAAGCATGCAGAAAAAAAAAAAAAATAATAATAATAATAATAATATGTAGCAGGCAGTAAAACATAAAAGCACATGTCTACGCATATATTTGTAGGTAGGAAAAACCTTTGCACAATCACCAAGCCAGCTCATAATACTACGGGCAGCTTGAAACATCTCGCCTAGCGCAGTTAATGTAACCTATCCAAACAGTAAGAGAACAATCATCAGTCAAGTCTATGGAAAGAACAGAATGGGCAAAAGTCCGCTAACATTAGCAGGTTCTGCACTTAGTAAAAACTAAGCTCTAAGTCATCCACACAGTCTTACTCTGGCCGCATAACAAGCTGCACCATAAATCTCTGTCTCATCACTAAATGCAGAACGTTCTTTTAACCTCCTCTTGATCTGCTCTCTAGCACCAATATAAGTGACACCATACACTGAGGTCATCACTGTCTGCTTAACCAATTTCCTGTCCACCTACATTTGGAAGAAGCATAAGACTGTAAGTCTGTAAAGGTGAGAAAATAACAGAGAAATTATAACTTACGTGGCAAGTCTATATTATTCAGCTAAATTCAGGCATCACAACCTACTCAACACAAAGCAATTAATTAAACCACAAACCTGGTTGATCAGCTTCCTTGCATGCACAGTGTCTGGAAAATCAGCAGGATCTTTCTTGGCATCTGCTTGCATGATGGTAAGAACTCTGCATCATAAAATCACAAACATTCAATTGTCAGAGTTTTACGAAAAAATTGGGATTTTATATACGTTTCATAGCACAAAATTTTAAGATAAGCATTCAAGGAAAACATGAGAAAATTCTAATAAACACATCAGAGCATTTTCAAACCCAATGCTATACATTCAAAGCTTAAACCGAATGAATGGTAAAGTCAGTCCATTAGCTGCATTCATATATAAATAACTTGTACCTAAAATTCTCACAGCATTGTAGACATTGAAACTGGCGATCACATAGAACTGACCTTGCACTCAGAAATACATGCAAGTGATCTGAAGTAAGACTAGGGGGCATTGGGGGATGATGTCCTTAATCACAGCTGAATATATTATATACTTTAATGCAAAGCAAGGGAAAGTCAAGGGTCCTTACCTAGCAGCTATGCCTGAGTAAACATCAGCTGGTTTTTCTCCAGCAACAAGATTGACAGCTGCTGCTCCCAACTGAAATACAAATACTTTGTGAGAAATCAATAACTTTCTCTGCCAACATCCCCTTGGCATTTTCTAATCTACTTTTCAATATAGATCAACAACCCTCTCTCCCCCCCCCCCCCCTTCCCTCTCAAACTTCCCCTTTGATTTAATAGAATTGGATATAACAGGAGGGAGAGTTCTCTAATTTCTACCCACACTTGATCTTATTATACGACATTTTCATAATTTAAACTTACATGGGCAGTGAGGGAAGAGAAATGGAGGAGAGGATCAGACAATCAAGCTTAACCTAATCAATCAAACATTTCACAGCCTTACCCTACATTTGCAGCAAAGCTATGTCCTTTAGATGCCAAATTAACTAAATGGCCAATTATTGAACACTAATAGCAAGACTTCAAAATCACAGAGAATGAGGGAATTACCTTATCTCTTCCAAGAGCAGCATAGTGCTGTAATCCATTGCAAGAACCATCCTATTTGAACAGAAAGGAGAATGTTAATCAGCTCATATGTAGCTGAAAACTGCTCACATTTTAAATTAGATGGGAAAAAATTTCATATGAACAGTGCCAAAAAGTTACTTGGAAGAGGGGTAAAAGAAGAATAGGTAAATATCAATTATCTTGTCTCATATTGCCAACCCAGCATCTTAGAATTACAGCTTGATCAAAACTAAGTGTCACAAAATGTCTACTTTTTTGACATGATGAAAGATTAGAGATGTTGAGTTCAAGAAGAAACATCTCAAACAAACTGTAACACAAATTGAGATTAATTCAAGAGAAACAAGCAGTTTGTTTATCCCTGCAATCCATAAAGAGCTGTGCATCATCTGCTCAATATTGAAAGAGGGGGAAATGCAAAAAAAAATTCATAGATGGTAACTTAATGCTAGCAACACCTTAGTGCAGTAGCATATAATTCCAATGATTGTCTATTTGCCTGGGAATACTATAGCACAGAAAGTTAACATTATAAAATTACCTTTGATCCTCGGCAACCTAGAAATATAAACCTCTGCTTAATTCATCCTATTTCACGTGATGTAAGTTCAACCTGATAGGTCATGTGACTAATGTTCATCCCTCCACTTAATTCACAAATGTATTTTTTTTTTTTCAACTAAACATGTCTGCTTCTTACATCTTATACACACTACACAGGCACACAGCACAGAGCACAGAGCAAGCTACTATTATCATCCACTCTTTGCATATTCAACAACCATAAGGACTTCCATAATCAAGGAATGTTGAAAAAGATAAGAAAGCATGAAAATACTCTCACTAATCACATGAGTTGAAATCCCTTAGCCTCCAACAGCAATACACAAAAGAAAGCTAGAATAATAATATTTATTTTTTATTTATTTAAATTTTTGGTGAATTCCATAAAAGCAGTTTGCCAGGTCGAGGAAGTTTATATAGCACAGGATTGTAATAAATTACTTGTACAAAGTTGCTTCTAGGGTGGCTCTGCTTTAGTTCTTTAATTGGATTGCATGATCTACCTTGTTAGATCATACATTTGCAAATCCTTCTGACCTCATTAGTTCTTGCAAGAATAAATTAATCAGAATGTTTTGCCAGATCAAGAGGAAACAATCCCATTGTTTAATCCCTAAAGTAAGGTATAGATACAGTGCATACTAAAGTAATTATTTTCTTTGCATGATCAAGATTATATGATTCGTCAATCCCTGGCATAGAAAGAGCAGCCAGCTAGGGAAAATTTCCTCAAACCAGTTCGTCCAACTTTGGTCATTATATACCAGTCCAAGGTTTTTCAACATATCATTGGAAGCAGAAGGTTTGTTAGCAAATACCAAATAGTCATATGTAGAACAATTAAAATTCAGATAACTTACTATAGTAATAGCCTATCCAACTGAACCATTCAAGGTAAACTTTTAAGCAGAAAGTCTATAATTGCTCACCTGATGAACTGGAATATGGGACTTATATAACTCGGGGCAAGGACTTCTCACAGCTTCAGCTAAATCAATACAGACAGCTAAACACTGAAAAGGATCTTCTGCTTTCAGCCACCAACACCTTCCTTCCAGTGGCTTATCCACAGAGTCAAATATATCATCCAAATGGTTCTCAGTAAATGCTATTCGACCCTCTAGAGATAATTTGTCAACGCCACCAGCATATAGATTTGCCACATGTATTTTCAACCAACGCAATCCTGATTTTCCAAGAGCTCGACCCTCTGCAAACTCTAAAATGCCTCGACACATATCAGACCCTAGATGGTTCAAGTATGGGTGCATTGGATATGCTCGACCGCGAAAATCAACATTATGCGGATAGAAAAAGCCTTCCTCATCCTTCATTTTCCGAGCAACCTATTTTTTGAAAAAAGGTACTAGAGTCATGTCTATACCAAGAAATACCTTAAGTGGACAGCTCAAGGATAATTTTACTAACCGCAAGTTTGAGTTCTACATCACAGCGTTGAGAATGTCGCTCCCGATTCTCTTTCTTTACAGACCTGACTTTCCATTTCCATGTCTTCAGCTCAGATTCATCTTCTGTGTCTGGTTTTTCTGGCAAAGGAACCTGCAATTAAAAAAATAAAAAAATAAAAAAAATAAAAAATAAAAACCCATCAGAAGTAAAACAAAATGGAAAAGCCTAACATGAGAACTAATATATTTAGAATGGAAAGAAACAAGATAACTCACATCATCTCGATCAACTAAGTCAGCCAGACGACCTCCATTAGCCCATACCCTATCTACAATGCTAAGAACTTTTTTATTTACCCTCCATTTTGTGTTTCCAAGTGTATCCAAGGCCTGTGCAATTTTATAAATAAATAATATTGCTGCAAAGGATAACCAGTTGCAATTTTATACAGAATTTGTATCAATCACTTTCAGTAATTAATAGCAAATTCGTAAGATCACAAGAAGTAGACAGAAGAATAAAGTGCAAAAGCAGATTACGCAAAAAGAGATCTTTTTCCCTCCCTGACCTCAAAAACTGATTTTAGCTGTTCCTCAGAGGCCGTCCTAACAGCTACTCTCTGATTCTTGGATCCATGAGTTCGCATGACAAATGATCGCAAAACCAAGTATGCTCCTTTATCATAACTACAACAAGACAACCATACAACAGTAAGAGACATAACCAGGATTTCTAGAAACCACATTGAGTCTGATTCTTAGGACATAACTAAGCCATTTTGAAGGTAGACCTTTGTTGTTGCAATTTCACAGAAACAAAAATACGAACCCAGTCACCCACCCTGGGCCCCAATAAAGGTAAAATATCAGGGGAAAACACAAGTGGCTAAAATTCAAATAAAGCCCGCAATTACAGCTCAGTGGAAAATCTAAGAGGGGGCTTTGATTCCTCTTTCATCAGTTTGCATAGAGAAATCAAGTATGCCATTTCAATACTTAACATTATAAGACAGCCTATTATAAAACAGCCTCAGGTATAAGTGAGCAGATAGCATATCACATTTTTTCAATAATAATGGACAAAGTGTTCAGATTTAGGCCCCATTAACATTATCTACTATGGTTTCTTCATCTAAGTTCACTTCCTATTAACTTTGCTAGTTCTTCTCACTCCATCCCTAGAACTCCTAGGTATTCCTTGTACTTTACAATTCAGATGCATCTTCCAGCTCTCACAAAGCACCAGTCACTCAATACTTCTAGAAATATATCTAAGGGAAAATGAGCACATGGTCTTCGAAAGAAACACCACCAACAAAAGTTTCTACAAAATTACATAAAAAAATATATGTAGCTTAATGTTGGAAAATTAGGGAAGAAATAATCAGTGATTAGATCAAATTATGTCACATTTCTAATGGAACTAGCCAATGAAAGATGAGGGGAAAAAGAAAAAAAAAAGCACACTACAGGTTCAGACAGTACTGCATTTAGGAGGAACTTGAAGCTTGAATCTAACAGGGTGCATGGAAGAAATAGTTCAGAGAGAATACGGTAATTATTTATGAGGCTATAGTAATTTAAGAGACACTGTGAATATTTAATACACAAAACTCAGACAGGGTTACCGACAAGACTGGTCAAAGTATTTGGGATTGTTATACACAAAAATTGTTTATGTTTTAGGAGTATAAGGACTTAGAGAGCAAAGAGAATAATACACTATGACATGAAATATATGTAAAGTATGAGGCATAGGGTCATACCCAGTCCATTTTTCTGGAGGTACCAACATTGGCATATAAGGGATAACCATGTGCCTTGGCTGCAAAAGCAACAACAGATGTTTATGGTAACTGTTTTCCAAAGATTATAACCAATCTATAACAGGGGCAATAGCAAGTAAAAATGCTTTGCAGAGAAATCGCCAAGTGCATAAAGACAAGTACAGGAAAAGCACAAATGAACTTTTAAAACCCAACAACAGAATTGATTCTTATAAACTTTACAAGATCCAACTTACAGTTTTCTCAAGACCTTTGATAACCAGTGGGTCACATTCAATCATCCCAAATCTTCGGCTGGTTTTCCTGTTAAAAAAAACCCAAAGTTCATTCTTATTTACATAGCAAATCAAAGAGACCCGATTGAACTAGTTGATGCATTAGAAGAGAGATCTTTCATTACTTGTTCTCAGGGCCAACATTTTTCAGTGAATGCACAAAAGCTGGTCGAACATCAGGAGCATCACTAGCTGATTGACTAACTGGAGGTTGTATGTATGCTGTTTGGACCAGCAACTCGATCAGACGACTCCCAACCTGCAACAAGGAAATGAGGATGCTTCCTTCTTATAAATGAGATATGGTACAAGGTTAGAGAAAAACAACTACCTTAGCCCTTGCCTCCGCACCCCAAGGCTTCAAATGACCTTGAGAATCGACAATTTTCAGCGCCTGTCGCCGCTTTTGTTTTTTAATTAAGCTATTTACGTTCTTTCTAAGATGCTGTTGCTCTTGGATCTCAGCATCAGAACCAGCTTCATCAGATTTTTTACATTTGTCACCTTTTTTCTTCTTTGTTTTCTCTAAAAATGTGTGTATCCTAACCTATATAAGCCATGTATTATGATAAAAAAAACATTAGTACTTGAGAGCAATACATATGCCAAAATTCAAAAGAAGAAAACACGAGTTTACCCACTTCTTGTTCAATGGCCTCGCCTATAGCACAAGCCGCTTGAACAACCTTTGCAGAGCCATAGCCACTTGCAGTCATTAACATTCCCATCAACTTATGCATTGTTATAATTGCCATCATATCTGCAGGTAACTGATCGAAATACGGCCCATATGCACCTCTACACTTCCCTTGCCTGATTATTTCTTGCTCCTCTATAATGCTATCTCTAAATGGCTCAAACCAACCAAGAAACAATGACTTCATATATGGCAAATTAGGTGCCAGCTTATGCTCACACATATCAGCTAAAAGCTCCCTATACTCATTAGCTGCCTGTTGCCATGACTCAGTCTCAAGCTTTATCTGCCTATTCCTAAGCTTATGGTACTTGTAAGGCGGCATACCCGCCACCATTTTTGGCTGTCTTTGCCGCGATTCTCGCCATTTTACCCTATTCTCTTCTTTTCTCATCTCCTCCACCAACTCCTGAATTTCATCAAAAACCGAATCATCATCCTCCAAATTCGTTGACGAGGCTAATTCGGCCTCGACAACACTAGCAAACCCTTTAGGGCATAGAACGTTTGAATTAGGTTGATTACTCAAAAACCAAGAAAGAGGTCTCTCCCCAATCTCTTCCTTCATCAATGACCCACCTTTTCTACAAAAACCCACCTCAGAAAAGTTCACTTTTTTACAACAACCCATCTCAAACGGCCTAAATTTCAACCTCTCAGCTATAACACAATCATGGGAAACCCCCAGAAAGCTGTAATTACGCGAAAATAAATTTGGGGTTCTAGAATTGGCTTGTTTAGCAAAGTTTCTCCACATAACTGTGGAATCAAAATAAGGGTTTACCACAAAACTACTCCTTGATTTATAAATTGAAATATAAGGGTCAAAATTCTGCGATAAATTAGCAGGAAATGAAGAAATATTACTACTGGACATCAAATTGTTCTAATCGATTAACAAGAAATTCTTGTGATAATGAAGAATTAAAGTAGATAGCAAAAAATGGAGTTACCAGAATTCGATGGGTAGAAGAAGAAGACGAGAAATACATAAGTGAGTGTTGAAAAACCCCTTCTAAAACCTCTGCTTCTGGTTTGTTTTTGGTGAAACAGCCGACTTCACGATGAAAGTGAAGTCTAGATTTTTGTACATTTGCTGAAAAATATCTTCAACAAATTTTACCATTGGAGGTTGAAGATAATTTGGAAGACATAATAATTATTTGGTGATTAAGGGTTTAGGGTTTATGGTTACTAATAGAATTTCATTTTTAGTACTAGTACACACTGTAGGTTTAGAAATTGCTAATTAATCCGTTTTATTGGGCTTTTTTTTTTTCAAGAAAAAATTGTACTCTTCTTTAGTAAATAAAAAACAAGAAACAATAGTGCTCCATTATTTTATTATTATTTTTTTTTTTTTCTGTATATTAGATGGACGAAAGTTAGAGAGGGTTATTGGATTGTTAAAAATCTGTCTGTTTCATTCATGGGTTTTTTCATATGTTTATGTGATTGAGAATTATTTCCTTAATTATAAGTATATATATGGCCAATATTTCAATGAATTATTCGTGAAAGTGATACTTTTTTTTTTTTTTTTACTATTAACCTTCATTTTAATTAACTTAGTCTTTTTTTTCTTCTAAAATTGACCTATCTAGACTTAGTTTGCCAAAATAAGTCAAATTATAAAGAACAAAAACACTAATGAAATTAAAAATTACAACGTAATTATTAAAATAAAAGGTTAACTAATTAAAATCATATTAAATAATTAACAATAAAATATTTATTTATTAATTGTAAGCTAGTCTTTTCATTTTGATTATATAGTATTGCTAATTTAGCTAGTCATTTCATCGTGTGTGATAATTACTTTAGTAAAAGGTAAGTTGAACTGTTAAAGCAACAAATAAGCAACAGATTTCAACTACTCCATCATATACTTCGTAAAATACTTGGTACTTCATATGTTAATTGCAACATGATGTTGAGGTAGAGGATCCACATTAGACAATACACCAACTTTTTGAGTCTAACTGTAAATCTAGTCCAACTGATCCAGCCATTTCACGGACCCTTGAGCGGCCCAAAGAGCATCATCTATCATTTGACCTTCAGCCTCGGGATTCGAACTTAAGCCAATTTACAGCACGAAAATGTGGATCATCTCCCAGGCGCAAAAGGGCAACTTTATTTGGCCACATCTCATGATCATCTCTATATAGCAACTTACAAAGAGTAGAGTAGTAGACTGATGGAGTAACAAATACCAGGAAGATTGAAGAATCAAACATTTGAGACTAGACTTACAAACTTTGACAGAATATGATTTGTCAGAACTAATATAGGACAAAGCTTTTTAATTAGTATATTTACATGAGAGAAAGCAAGAGCATTGTACAAACAACTCCTGCCTTTGCTCAGCATACACAACTGGACAAGGAAGACACAACAAGGTGATCGTCATTGATCCCGGCAGATAAAAAACTGACATGCAGTAGACAATTTGCCTCAGGATCAACAAGATACTGTTATTTCTCTTAAAGATGAGGAAAAACAATCCCAAACCCCCACAACACTATCAAATATATAAAAGAAAGATAAAATTACAATCTCAGTTCGTGGACTGGCCTCTTCCGTTCTCCATTACCCTGTGGCTGAAGGCCTAAAACAATCAATATTGCACAATCCCACAGATCTTATCATCCCTCCAAATCTGCAAAATAAGTGTTGGCATTAAACAACAGTTCAGAGGATAAGCTAAAACTGGAAGTGGCAAAAGAAATTAAGGGATGACAGTCAACAAAAGAAAATCTGAGTCGTTCTGTGTTTAACTGACCTATCAACACTATTCCGAGCTTTATCAGGCCGTTCAATAGAGTTATTTGCTTTATCAGGAAGATCTAAACTCTTCCTCAATTTTTCTCTCTTGTCGGTACTGGTTCTTGACTTGTCTCTTAAATCTAAGCTTTTCCTGGGTTTTTCTTTCTGGTCCATACTTGCTCTAGGCATCTCTCTTTGATCAGCACTCGATCTTGATTTATTATCTCGACAATCTGTGCTGCTCCTCCGTGGATGATCTAATCGTTCAGAACTCAATCCAGATCCGCTTCTTAATTGTGGTGATTTCTCAACAACAGATATGAACTTTTTAAGATGTTTTATGTACTCTGGATAAAGCTCCAAGTCACAGTGATTTCCACCTTTAACCCATAATGGCTCATACTTTTCTTTACAATTCTCCCACAGTTGCTTGCCATGAGACCAATCAACCACATCATCAGATGTCCCCTGCAGCACCGACAAATTTAAGTATATCATCATCTTCTCATACATGTATAAATGAGTTGGCAGGTTGGCACATGGTTGTCTATATTTGAAATAGAACTGAACAATGAGATAGATGTGAGTGCCTGATCAAATTTAGATAGGTGATTACATTCATGTTCATATGTGATAAATTTTCGCTCAATGAGGTGGATGTGCAACTAGGGTGAAATACTGCACCAAGAGTCCAGTAAATCTTGACAGTAAAATGACGCTTCACAATCACCAGTCAATAAATACAGAAATGACTAGATTTGGGGATAGCAAAAGATCATAGTGTTATACCATGATCAAATTTAGATAGGTGATTACATTCATGTTCATATGTGATAAATTTTCGCTCAATAAGGTGGATGTGCAACTAGGATGAAGTACTACACCAAAAGTCCAGTAAAATCTTGACAGTAAAAGGATGCTTCACAATCACCAGTCAATAAATACAGATATGACTAGATTTGGGGATAGCAAAAGATCGTAGTGTTATACCATACACCCTTGTACTCCCAGCCTCACTCAATAAATCTAAACTGCCTCCCTAATTAAAATCAATAGCATGGTCAAGTAACAAAGAAAATCACCATGGATAATTGATACCTGAACTGCAGCTAAAGTGTGCGCCTTACTCTCAACATCTACTCCCTTCACCAGTTCCCGTCCCCACCCCCACCCCACACAAAAAGAAAAGAATAAAAAAAGGTATAACAGAATTTCTTGCACTCTAAAATAACAAGCCGTAACATCATGTATTTTCACTAAATAGATTAGATTTTGATTATTTAAGGTTCCTTCTTGCATACAATCAAAGATTAGAACTTTAGAAGAGAGTTATGTTGGGGATCAAAGAGGGCAGAGAAGAGCCAAATGGTAAGTCAAATAGCCACCTTTGCAATATGTCTACACTTAGGAGGAATCTTGACTTGCACTAGTGTAAGAACAATAGTTGACCATTCCAAAATTACATCAAATATTCCAACAAGTAGTTTTAACTTTGAAAATAAAACATACCAAGTTTCAATCGTTCTCCAATACCGGAATCAACAACCCCACACCTAGCCATCCCCCCAGTAATATATGGCAGAGTAATTATAGCTTTATAATAAATAAGATCGTGAACACACTGATAATCATTCCAGTGCCTCTTTCACAAAAATTTAAATCTAAGTCATTGTACTCCATACTACCTAACATGTGGATAGCCAGGTGACATTAGCAACATAAAGCCTTAAGAATTACGATCTCACTAGTTACTATATAATATAGCTACATGTTATCACAAATATATCACAACTTTATTTTTTCATAGCCCTTCACGGGACTTTTCTAACCTCCCCTTGAGGATATTGCTAGTGTTATGAAACCACGTTAAGTTTCTTAATTTATTTGATTGTCAGTCTCCACCCCTCATTTGCACCAAAAAAGAAACAAATACCAAGAAGAATGAAGTTTAAAACTATGTTATAGCTGCCAGCCTGCCACCACACATAGAACTCAAAACCACCACAGTACCCACAGGATCACAACTCCCATGCTCACAATATGCAAAGAAGACACCAGAGAATCCCAACCCTTCAACAGAAACAACAAATAAATGATGACACAGACATGACCACACCACAAAAACATTTTCTTCACCCATCCATACTCCATAGTGCGGCTTTCTGCCTGGTAGCTAGGGTTCCTCCCCTCCTCTTCTTTGAGTTCATTTTATTCTGTATTTCTAGCTACTGCTGACTACATTCTATTAGTTTTTGTCCTATTTGATCCTTGGCTGAAAACAATAAAACAGAGGTATGCAATAGCCACCATCACACAACCATTTTTAATTAATTTAGGAAAGTTGTCATGTTGGTCCCATAGAGTTTAGAGTTTGGACACTACTTGAGTTCAAAAAAGGTACCAAAACTAGCCAATTGCAAGTGTCCCTCACTATCTGCAGCAGAAAAAGCTTTACTTCTCCAACCTCCTTATTTCTATCACAATAACAAGTTGTTTTCTTATATTCCCTTTTTATTTGAGTTGCTTTCAATTAGCATAAATGCTTTCCACTTTATTGGAGTTGATGATTTCTTACAGTACGTTATCGAAGTAGAATTCTAAAGCTACCTGTTTAAAAACACATAGATGACAAGAAACTACCGGTTACACTAGCCCCTAAACTGTCTGCAGCTGAGAAAGCTTTACTCCAATAATTTTCCCATTTCCATCTTAAAAATATGTTGCTTTCTTCATATGCTATCTGAGTTTCCCTTAATTATACTCCTTAAATATACTAGTAGTGAGGCAGCACTCATGGAAATAAGTCTACAGGATTCTTCCCATCTCAAATAATTGATTTTAACAGAATTTCTTGACATAATTCTCGTTGATAGTGCATTGATGAAATTTTTTGACATGGCAACGCACCACATATTACATATTTACATACTGTAATTGTTTTGATCTAGGTAACTGGTAATTCCATCTTTCACTCAAATAACAATAAGCATTGGAGTCAGAGGGATGGCAGAGAGTCAATTGCCAAGTCAAGTAGCTATCTATAAGGCTGCAACAAATCTGCAGCAAGGACTTTCGACTTGCATAGTGTAAATACAATAGTAGTCCATCCCAATATGGCAACTAACCTTTCAACAGATAGTTTTTGCCTTGATGATAAGATATAATAAGCTTCAAATGTTTCCGTTCCTACACTCAGTTAATCCATCCCCATGCCCAGACACCCCTCAATAGAACTTGAAGATACCGAGTTTCATTATCATGTATCTTTACATATTTCAAACCTAAAATTCTCTGTACTCCAGAATCAACTCGTAATACCGTCAGATATACAGATAATTCAGATATGTGATCAGCCAACATTCACAGCTTATTCTTCTATGTTGAACCCTCTGAGAGTTTAACTAATATTACTCTCAATAGAAGATAATAGAGGAACAGATGTCCCACATCAGGTTCTCTTCCCTAAGCTCAAGATGTACAAAGAGGACATCACAAGAGTCCAACCTTTCAACAGCAACAACAACAAAACATTTGATGTACTGCCAGGTGCCAATCAAGTCCACTACTTCAAGAAACTCAAAGTTCATCCATTGATTTTTCTTGGCTGAATGTAACAGAAAGGAAATGTACACAAATTGGCATTACACACCCAATCACTCAAGGTTACAGAAGGCAAGTAATACTATATCAGTCTTGCAGCATGTTGGCCAAGAAGATTAGTAGAGTTTGGAAGTTACTTGTATTCAAGAGAAGTATATGACAACCCAACTGCACATGTCTCCCATAGACTGAATCTCAGAAAGCTTTACTCCTCTAATTTCCTTGTATCCATCGAAAACTCAAGTTGTTTTCTGCATTTGCTAATTATCTGAGATGCTTTCAGATAGAAGCACACATATTTTCCAAATTTCGAAGTTCTTGATTTCTACTAGAGTTGTTGAGATCGAAATCAATGAACCTCCCAACCTAAAGTGTTTGTAGTTAAGTGCTTTATTAATGTGCTTTTAAATTGAGTTGCTAACAATTTAGCAGTGTACACATATTCCAGACACTTACAAAGTTATGAATTTCTTCCTTCAACCCCAAAGAGACACAGATGAATCAAAAGTCTCTTATAGTTACAGGAAAAAAACTCCTTCAACCCCAAAGAGACACAGATGTATCAAAAGTCTCTTATAGTTACAGGTAAAAAACTTCCTCAAAGATTGTTATTCTAACTACGAGCAAATAATCTTCATAAAAGATCAGAAGCACACACCATACAACAAAATTTCATACTGCATCAACATTCTAATGTAAAGGTACCCTTATATTATTACAATTTGAAGGAATTATAAAGGCACAAGCACAATTCAAGCAAACAATTAAATGCAGCCTATGCAGGAGCCTCATGTAGTATGACATCAAAATTTCAAACTGTTGATGAGTCAGAAGATACTTACATGAATTACTAAAACAGGGCAACTGACCAACGGTATTTTGTCAATATTCTGCATTACAAAGAAACAAAATTAGAAAGCTTGCACTTGTGTATCAAAGCTGCTTTTCAGTCAACAAACACCTTAGCCCACCTTATATATGTCAAACCAATATGACCTCTTTACTGGATACATAACCCGTAAGCCAGACATAATTGGGCTATGAAGCACAACAGCTCTTAATTTTGGTAATCGAGTAGCTAAATCTAATGTAGGCCCACTTCCAACAGATTGCCCGTATAATATAACATCTTCCTCCTTCACTCCATATCTTTCCACAAGACATCTATATGCAGCCTCTATGTCTGCATAAGTATTCTGCTCATTCGGCTGCGAGAACATAAGAAAATAGAATTATATCTTCATTTGTGGAATTTGTCGGATCAAAATCATAATTCATCTATACAAGGTAAACAAAAAGGGGCAGTACTTGGTGATGCATTAACATACCTTGCCTGTAGACTGTCCATACCCAGAATAATCATATCTGCAAAGCAAAAACAAAACTAGAAAGGATCAACCTACAATCATAAGCTAACTAACTGTTCAGCAGATTCAAACAGACAGTGATCGTGGATCAAAACAGCTCAAAGTAATGTCACCATGAAACCCGATAAGCAATACATCAATTAGTACAATAATTCCAAAAATAATTAAAATTCAGTTCATAAACAAATAGAAACTTCATCGTGGCAAAAAGCTTCACAAATGTACATCACAACCCATTTAGGTCTCTAATCATCTCCGACGACTCGACCTAATCACCTTAACCTGATCATCTTTCTACACAAAATATTGATTAAAACACGTTCCTAAAACTCCACTTCTTTGGAAACAATACAGACTGTAATCCAACACAGAACAGTTACTATTTCAACAAACAAAAAATTCTTGCTTTCCCCATTAAATTAACCACAACAACCCAAAAAAAATCAACAGTTCCTGCCACACTACAACAAACAAACACCAAAAAGCAAAGAATCCCCCCATCAAATCAAAGAGCAACACACATACACCAAATTATATTCTTTTTCAATTCCATCAAATCAACTACAGAAAACTCAAAATAATTATAAAAACCTGTAATTAATAGAATCTAATAATTTAATAAAAAATAATAATAATGATGATTGATTTTATGATTTTACCCCATCAAATTGACTCTGAGGTGAATACTGAGCTCCCCAAAAAGCTCATACATCTGTCCCAAATCAGCAGCATTACCATGAGAATAAAGAACAGTGAGTTTTGCCATTGGATTTCTCATGAAAACTGCCACAATTTCATTCCCTTTTTTTGTACTTAGCTTCAATACATCTGCATTTTCTCTCTCCACCACTTCACTCATCTTCATCTTCCCTGTCCCTTCCTCCATCACCACCTTATACGAGGGTGGGTCAGGCGGAAAGAACGCGAATTTCGCCGCCATTGTCGATGTCACCGCCCCCATTATATTAAATCCAAGATTAAATTAGCTCAAATTTTGTAAGATTTACAAAATTTTGGGTTCTCTACTACAATTGAAAATTCGAAATCAACAAATTCATCAAAATTTATTTCTATTTTTAGAAAAAATATAGATATAGATATGAAATTATTACCACCATTGAACACCAACAAAAATTGAAAAAAGGGAATTTAAATAAATAAAAATAGTAATAAAAAGATTGCAAAATCAATTAAAACTACAAGCTTTGATTTTAAATACAGGAAAAAAAATAAATACCAACGTTAAATTACCAGAAAAAAATTTAAAATAATAATAAAAAAAAAAATAAAAAAGCTAATTGCTTTCCTCAAAAATCATGTGAAGTGGAAGCTACTTTCTCTCTCTTCTTGAATTTCTTTCTCTATGTACAGTAAACATGAATCATCGAAATCTACAACAATTGCATTAAATTAGGGTTAGGGTTTCGAGAGAAAGGGGAAATTTTAAAAAAAATTGCCTTTGTTTTTTTGTTTTAGTTTTTTATTTTATGGAAGAGTGGCTTTAGCAGAGTGCAAAGTGTTAGATCTGTGTTGGTCTGTTGGATTTGTTTTATTTTTGTTGCTAATAAATAAATTTGAAAGTCAGATGTCCTAAATCCTAATGTGAAAAAGAGGAGATAAAGATTTATAAAAGAAAGAGTTTTCCGGCGAAATATTGAGGTGGCACGTGCCGCGGGGTGTCTGATTCAAAAGATCGGTTTATTAAAATTATTGACTTATAGAGGCCTTTTTATGCTAAAACTCATGGTCTCGTGGATCGTAACATCGTTAGTATCTACTCCGTATAAAGATACCATCGGTGACATTTTCGTAAATATATGAAAAGGGGTTAAGGCCTTGCTTGGTAAATAGATTTTTGTAAGAACTTTTAGCTTATCGAGTTCTATTAGATGTTTGACCATTTCAAAATGATAATTTGGGTGTTTGGTATAAAGCTTATTAAAAGAGCTTTTTGCGTTCAAAAAACTCTTTTAGCAAAAGCTCATTATAAGAGTTTTTTGAAATTAGCTTATGGACTTGGTTTTAACTATTAAATACACTCAAAGATCTAACAATTAACATCTATTTACCAAACACCCTTTTACACAATCAGTTATTTACAACAAGTTAGTCAAACTAGCTAATATAACCAGCTAGTCAAACCACTTAATACAACTAGTTATATCAATCAGCTACCAGCAAACTACCAAACAAAGCCTTATCAATTTAACTACCAAAATCTTCATTTTGATGATATCAATTGAACTACCAAACAAGGCCTTATCAACTCTTGCCACCAAAATTAACAATTCAACTACCAATAAAAAATCTTCATTATGATGATATCAATTTTCTCTTAATCTCATTTTCTCTCTTCTCCATCTCCTTCCTCCTAACAAAAACCCCGAAATTATCTACAACAATCAAATGTATCTCCTCTTCATCTTCAACATCCTCTGCTTCTTCATCAAAATAGAGCATCAAATGGAACAAATATGATGGTATTTTCCACCCTAATCGACTAATCCTCATGTATTTTGATTTCTCTCTCCTCTCATAGCGAAAATCAATCCCAAATTCACCAATTTCATTAAATTATGATAACATAGGGTTTAATGTAACGCATAAAATTGCGAGATTTCTTGAGAAAGGGAGAAAAAAAAACTACTCTTAAAGAGTATGGAGTGTGTTTCTAATTAATTGAAAGAATGAAAGTTAAAATAACGTATTTGTTAGAAAAGAATGAAATAGATGAGTAAAGAGACGTAATTGAAATTTCAAACCAAACACTAGCTTTGAATTTAACTTTTTTTTTTTTTTTTTTTTTAGAATTATGCTCATTAATTTGTGAAATTTAGTAAGCTATCATTTGAATTATTTGTTCATTTATTACAAATGAGTATAAAATTCTAAAAGCATGTACAAATTGATGTCTACAAATTTCGCTCATCTGGAATAAATAGCAATATTTTAGACAGTTAATTTTGACTAATCATTTCTAAACACATTTGTTCATTTATCACAATTAAGCACGCAAATTACCATTGAATACTTTTGCTCTTTTGAAATAATGAGCAAATTTTCAGACTATTTGCTATTACTCATTTGTTATAGTTTTGTTCACTTATCAGTTATCACAAATGAGCAAGATTTCTACTTCATTCGCTTTTTATTAATACCTGTAACACTTTTCTAAAATGAAAATATTACACTACTACTATGATTGTAATTTCTTTTTATTGAAAGTTACATTGGCAACTATCCCTTTTTAAAGCTCATTACCCACTTAATTATACTGCAAACAATCTCTCAACCCCATTTAATGTATGTGTAAGTCATATGATGAACTTGCTTTTCTAGAGTACCGTAATATTTAAAAGTGTGTCTAGCAACTACTAAAATACGAAGAAAATATAAGTTAGTGAAAACTAACATTTTAAAAGTTTGCTCATTTATCACAAATGAGCAATACCTTTAAAATCAAGTAAATTTATTTTCCTCGTGCACACAATGAGCATACAATTTGCTCATTTTGCACAAATGAGCACATAATTAATTTATTTTGCTCATTACTATTTGCTAATTTTTTTCATTTACCCCCCACCCAAAAAAAAGGAATTGAATTGAGGTAAGTATAAACAATATGCACAGTAGTCACAACTTCACAACCAATTTGTTACATGATTGAAACTACAAAATAAATTCATTGAAAGAAACTAATTTCCTTATTTCCATGCGCAGTTTTAGAGAGAAAAATACTCAATCTCCCATTCCCATATGTAGGGATGGCAATATTAGATGGATATCCGCTAACCCGATCCACCCGCTTAAAATAAATGGACGAAACCCGAAATAAATGGATGAAAAGCGGGTGACGGATGAAGTGGATGATGGATCGAATCGGATATGGATGATGATTTTTTCACCCGCTAACCATCCACCCGCTCGTTTAACATATATAAAGATTTTTAATCTAAGAATTTTAATTTTTAAAAATTTAAAATATACAATAAAAATATTTTATTTGTTGCAAATTAATTTTTTCAAAGAATATGTAGTTAGTGCTTCCTTTTTATTTTAAAAACAATAATAACTTATGGTAGAAATAACCATAAATTAAATTTTATGCGAATTTTTTATTTCATAAAATGTTCATCCATTAGTCACCCAATCCACCCGTTTCATCCACGGATGATGGATGGACGGATACAGATGATGGGTGAAACGGATGATGGATGGATGTGGATGAAGCGATTGGAATGATGGATGGATGCGGGTGAAGCTCCACCCAATCCGAATCTGATCCATTGCCATCTCTACCCATATGCCTTGAATGTCAAATGTAGGTTTGATGATGTTGTGATTTAGTGGACTTGATGGGGGGATTCTCGGTGCATGCAAGCAAGTTACAAACCTAACGTAGATTTGAGAGTGAAATTATATTGAGCTATTTTATTTCTTCTACGGTTGCTCAAGTATTTTGGGGGAATTTAGCTGATGAAATTATGCATTTATGAGAATCACAAACAACAAAAATGAAGAATAAATTCAAATTTGCTGTAAAATATAGGAAAGGAAGAAGAAAAGTGGAAGATGTTGAAAGAATATCATATTATTCATCACTTTCATTAGGCAATGACTATTATTTATATATGTACAAGTGAATATAGTAACTCCCAATGAACAATGAAAAGTCACAATAATGGAGGAGTTACAATGGAAAACAATAAGGCAAAGGGAGTTACAAGGGGTTATTAAGGGATGTAATAATGTTAAGGGGGTTACAAAGCTATGCATAATGGACATTCATATAAATATATTTCATAACACTCCCCCTTAGATGTCCATTATTGAAGATTATGACTTGTTAAAACCTTATTAGGAAAAACTCTATGGGATAAAAACCTAGTGAAGGAAAAAGAGTACATCATTCTTCATAATACGCTTCTGATGCTACCTCATTAAAAACCTTGCCAGGAAAACCCAGTGGGACAAAACCATGGTTAAAGGAAAAAGAGAGTAACGCGTATTTTCTCCTCCTGATTTTTACATCACTTTAGATCTTCAATGCAATTGATTCAACACTGACACAAGCAACTTCTCCTATGTAGCAACAAAATCTTCATTGATAATTGATTTTCCAAAATTTAACTTGTGTCTTCAAATCTTCACTTGAAACGTTATATTATCTTCTTGTCATCTGAATTATGAGAATAATACACATTGAATTTAATGATGTATATATCTCTTTCTTATGTACCAATGTTTTGGCAAAATTCCAAATACATATATCTTGATAATAACCTCATTTTAGATGAACACATATCCTCATATAAAAGATAATGGTTCTTATCCATGTATATATATTTGACTTACTTGTATTCTTCTTCTGGAGGTCATTAATATATAGCTGAAATTTATCAATATTTGATCCAACACTCGTAAAACATATAGATATCATCATTGTCAAATAAGAATTATCGGTAACATGAATCATCTCGATTAATGCATCGCTTCTGGTTCTTTCGGGCCATAATAAATCATTCACAGGATAAGTATTTCATAATTGCAATTCTTTATACATTTTATATTAATTTAAGAGTTCTCTTAATTAAGAATACAAATAATAAAACATTACAATTCTCACATGCTCAAATTTCAGGTTGAGATGTCATGAATTTAGTCCAAAATAATCTTTTAGAGTTTTGGATAATATCTCATCGATGTTGTAATATTTAAAAGTAAACTTTTTAAAATAGACATATAAATAAACAATGTCTAAGTTCTTAGGAACTCTTCTTAATTAATTTCATTCATGGCTCATAATATGCTATTAGAACATTATATGCTTCTTAACCCATTAGCTAGTTGGAGTTTGAATATCTTCTTATATGCATTCATAAAATTATGCAAATTATTCTTACAATGCTTGGCATGCATATTATTCATTTATATACCAAAACCATGATTTGGAAGTAATGATATTAATTTTAAATGCAATATGAAAAGTAATGATATATGAATAAAGCAATATCATACAATGATTGACTATATAAATGATATATGTATATGACGAATGATGCATATGTACTTCCTATACATGGACATGAATGTAAGACTAAAAAATGCAAAACATTGTACAATGTGGATTTTAGGATCCATATTTTGCTGGAGTTCAGGTCCATGAGCTCTTTATTTTATCATAATCATAATTATGTCGACATAAAAATGGACGTATAATTCAGATCCTCTCTTCACAAGTCCATTACTTAATGCATATGCATTTTTGTCGGTTCCATTGTATACCAGTATCATAAACATTATTTCATGTAACATTTGCATGCTAATCAATATCGATTCTGAATACATTTTTCATTGGTACCATCATACTTCGCTCATAATGTAGGCCATTTAATATAATTCAGATATTCATTCCACTTTTGGGATATTTCATACAATTTTATTATTTCGATGTTTTATACTCTTCAAAAATATCAACTGCACTATCTTGCCACGTAGCACATCTTTGTATACGAATTGATCATATAATCTACACTTTATGTGTAAGTAGAGATAAAATTAATAAATATTGGCAAGATTTATTTCAAAATATGCACATAATTCCACTATGACCAAAATGTATCTTCTACGCCTTTGGATGGGTCTGATTACAAATCAAATCATAGAGTAATGCACAATATATCTTGATAATACATAGACA